GAGGAAAGGAGGTAGGTGGAGCCCAGAAGGGAGACGCCGAATGACTGAATCAGGGTTGTCGAGGAAGACCTCATGGGGACAGAACACTTGGAACGCGTCCTCAGCTGAATTCGATTACAGGCATGTCTTAATCTGTTTTTCTGTCACTGTACCAGAATACCACAAGAACTGGCTGATTTACGAGCAGGAACTGGCTTGGCTCATACACATGTTCAAGCACATGGCATCTGGTGAGAGCCTTCCTGTTGCAGCATAGCATGGCAGAGGAAGAGAGAAAACTCATCCCTTTTTATCAGAAGCCCACTTGTGGGATAGCCAGCCTAGTCTCCCAATGACAGCGTTGACCCGTTCGTTCATCTGGGTACAGGCTCTCTGAGCTAATCACGATGGATGTCAGCACGGTAGGATGGACTAGCAGACAGCAGAGAGACACAGTCTGGGTGGAGGGAGCAGCCAGGGCAAAGGCTCGGGGGCAAGGGAGCCCGGGACACGCTCTAGCAACAGCAAAGTGCAGAGCAGCCCGGCAGTGCCTAAGGGAAAGTGGAAGAGAATGGACTCAAAGAAGGTACTTATGGCTTGGGAGCATCATCCTGTCACTTTATGGCTTGGTTCTGCCTGTGTGGTTCTATAGTCCAGAAATAAATCTGTCCCCACAGAGGGGAAATGGGACTGGATAGATGCTCTGCTCTTACACAAGACCCAAGTTAGGTTCCCGGTATCCACATCAAGCATCCTGTAGCTGCTGGTCCATGATTTTCAGCATCTTTGGACTGATATAAGTTTTCTTTTCTTTTCTTTTTTTTTAAGTCTTATTTTGAAATATGTGTTCATGTCTGTTCACTAAATCAAGGCACATCTAACAATTGCCTACAAATGAGTTAGCGTTTTCAAATTTCAATATGGTTCTTTATGTTGACTATACGGCCTCTTAAGTTACAGAAAACAATTACTGGGGAATGCCAGCGCAACAGTAAATGCAATGGGAAAATTTTAAACTCAACTGTAATTGGCATTACAGTCCACTAACTCCAAGTCCTAAAGCCTGCCCAAGCCCCCAGACCCATCTCTCCATAACATTTTTGTCCTTAGATCAGGCTGGTGCTCACGGGCTGTGGAGTCAGTCTCCGGCAAAAGCATACCAACACTGCTGGCAACAGAGTCACCATCACACACACACACACACACACACACACACACACACACACACACACACACGAATGCTAAGCATCCTAGGCTCGGCAAGCTCTAGACGGGCCTTACTTTATAAGCAGAAGCTCAGAACTGCTGGCTGGCTTCTTGCTGGGGCTTCATACTTCAGGAAGTCAGACCACGCCTTTCAGGGCATGAGTGTGCTGAGTCACAAGGCAGCTGCACACTCACTCTTTAATTACAGGCCACTGTGTTGTCATCTTGTTAACTCTGTGGCAAAATGAACCCAGGACCGAGGGAGAGCACCTTCAGGAGAGATTCCTGGGGACTGTGCGAACATTTCAGAAAAGATGATTTTGTTCCTTTCTTGGCTTTGAAGAAATGAAATACCCTAGAAAATAAACAAACTCTGCCATAATCTTCTCATGGTATCACCTTCAGCCGCATAATTAGCAAAATATTTACTTTATTTGAGGCCTCTATTGGTTCACTAGGCACATTCAATGATATACAAGACAAGAATAGCAGAGTATTCCAGTCCTCTGCCGAGCCATTCAGGTCATTGCCATGAGACATGTCTACTGTCCACTGGTTCAGTCTCTCCAGCAGACAGATTTTGGCACGTAAAAATGGTTAACTTCACGTTGAAACCCAAAGGTAGCAATGGTCTTAAAGACTGTATAACTTTTCGGTTTTGTTAATTTGCAGTAGTATATTTATTTAATCGATTAAATGGGTGATTAATTACTAAGGACTGAATTAGGACCAGAGAGATGGTTCAGCAGTAAAAAGTGCTTGCTTACTCTAGAATTCTGATAACCCGAGTCCAATACCCAGAACCCAGAGCGGGAAGAGCAAACAAACTCCTGACAAAGTTTGTTCTTTAACATCCACACTCAGGCTGTGGTGCACAAAAGCAGACAGACACACACACATACACACACACAAGCATGCACACACGCATGCACGTGGGCGGTGGCAACCAATAATAACAAGTATTATTAACTTACTTCAACAGCTGGGAAACACTGAATCAAACCCGCGTAGGGACGAGATCTGATCGAATGTTTAGTGAAACCCTTCTCTGATCCTCACCCCTGACAAACGCCCTACTTTTTTCCCACTCAGTACCTGTCCCTGTGAGCAGACACTCAGGCCCCTTACTCCCCATCTAGTCATTTGGCAGATGACCAAGAGAGCCTCTACAAAATGCTAATGGCCTCTCCAAGGCCACCCAATTAGATAAAGGCAGAACTGCTACTGGGATTCTAGCCCCTTCCCCAAGATGCCCCACCCTGGAGCTTGGATAGTGAGCGAAACCGGGCCACATTTGAGGCAATGTCTCGGGTGACGTTGGCTCTGAAGTTATTTTAATTATAAATCAGCGCTAGAAACTAATGAAGGCATCTAAGCTGAGGTACTGGTTTAGACCAGAAGGATGGGGGAAACTGTAGATAAGAGACAGAGCACTTCCTGTGGGACTTTAAATTTCAGTGATCTATATTTAAACTGTCATGATTGTAGTAACTAACAGAACGGGGAAGGGGAAATCTGAATAAAAACAACAGCCTGATTTAGCTACATGACATAAATTAGCAATGGTATTTCTGGGAGTTTTCTAATACAGCCCAGTTCATGCAAGCCCTCCAAGACTATCATTAACTCACAGGAATATATTTAATCAATTAAGTGGGCGATTACTAAGGACTTTCATGAGTATTTATGACCAATGACATTATTTTCGCAAGATAAATATACGAGGGTCTGGAGAGATGGCTCAGCAGTTAGGAGCACTTGCTGTTTTTGCAGAGGACACAGGTTCGAGACCCAGCACCAAATGGTGGCTCACAGCTATCCATGACTCCAACTCAGAGATCTACTGTTTCCCCTGACCACCAAGGACAATGGACACACATGTGGTACACAAAAACACATCCGTGAATGCAAAACACTCATGCATTTAAAATAAATAAATCTTCAATTAAAGAGATAAGTACATGGGCCATGTAGGATGTTTATTTACACCAGTAGGTCATCCAGAAATTCTTGTTCATACAAATAGATGAGTAAATGTCATATATGATATAAAAGTAGACTGGGGTCATTAACTGATGACCCCATGTTAACTTTATTTGTATCAATTCAAAATGGAAACAGGAATTGTTGTAATCTAACAGTTCTACTGAGTCTTTGACACATTCCATCCTCTTGCTCTACCTGAACCACCCAGAAACCCATCACCTTTAAGGCGTTGAGAGACAGAGAGACTCGAATATACTTTTTTAAAAAAATAATAAAATTTCAAAAATGGCCCCATAAGCTTAGCGTGGTACCACTCATCTATAACCCTAGCACTTGAGAGGTGGAGGAAGAAAGAACAGGAATTTAAGGCATGCCTCCTCCACATGGGGAGTTTGAAGTCAGCCTGGGCAAGAAAAAAGGGGGGGAAGGGAAGAAGGGAGGGAGGGAGGGAGGAGAGAGGAAGGGACAGAGGGAAGGAGGGAGGGAGGGAAGAGGGAGGGTAAAAGGGACATAGGGAGAAGAAAATGAATCCCTTTGCCCTTCCCAAAGTGCTCCCTACCAGATCGGGATTACAGCCATTCCCCTCGTGACAAGGATGACATGTTAGATATTTCACACTTCAATGCTCTCTCTGCAAACTGCATTAGCAGTCTTCCAAGCCTGGGCACCAGCAAGTTGAATGGGAGGAAGTACAGGGCTGTTCTGTGTGCTGTAACACCACTGGAGTCCTGTCTGCTAAACTTAAACACTTTGCATCACAAGCTTGTGTCAGACAATGTGTGCATGGCACAGGCAATGCCCGGATTGGAGCTTCCGATCTCAAGAGAGACCTGTGGTTGGAGCCACCATGGAGCAAAAGTTTGAATGGCATCTCACGTTTGAAACCCAAATACCCCTCACCCGTCCTTCCCAGAGACCCAACAGCTATTGCTACTTTCAAAGTCTAAACTTCTCTTTGTTTTCTTTGCTTACAGGGAGAAGGTGCGCACAGTTGCTGCCCAAAGAAAAGGAACCCTCTACTATCATCTGCCAGACTGGGGTTTGCTTTCTCCTCTCCTCTCTGCCACTCTTGGGATCCAGGCAAACTCCTTCTGAGTAAAGAAGCAGAACCCCTTCGCCAGCAGGATTTTAAGACACCGAAAGGCACTCTTCTGCGGCCAATTACTGCCTGTCATGGTCACACTTTGTTCTAACTTAAAGCATATGTCTGCTTCCTCACACTTGGCTCAGGAGCACAGGGCAATGGAAGGGTTAAATAAATTCCTTAGAAACAGAATGAGGGAAGACTCCCAGAGCTGTGCAGGTGCAGAATTATAACCTGCCACTGTTCCTCAAGCGCTGTACCAACCCTGCCTGCTCCGAGGGCGGGCTCAGATACAAGGCCCGTGTAGTCCTGGCTTTCCACGAAAGCAAATACAAATAGATAACATGAAATTTTCGATTTTACCAGCAAAGAACTGAGCATACAGTAGATGTGTTCAGCAGCTTCTAATCAAATGATGACACAGTTTAAAGTGACGCTATCAAGTTCCTCCCAAGAGTGCAGATCCCAGCCTGAATTCAAACCAAGTCCAGAGCCAGATAGTTGAGAGCCAGGCCACCTGACTGACCAGCAGACGAGCTCTGTTCCCTCCAGGGAGGCCAAGCAAAGCTCTGCAGTCTAGCAAACTCACCTCATTGGACGTTACAAATTCACACAGCCTAATGAAGCTGGCAAATGGAAGAAAGCCAACCATCAGGCAAAATGAAAACCAGGAAACCTGAGATTTTTCTCAACCAACAGAGGGAATGGCTAAGGATGAGAGACACAGCAACATACTTTGTTCTTTTTTTTTATTATTATTATTATTTAGTCACAACACATCAGTACAACAGAGGTCAAACCCAGCTCGGTGGAGGCTGCTCAAATTATACCTGCTAAAGGAATAAACCTGTAAAACAAAGCTTCTAGAGCCCAAATCAAAATTTTAAAAATCAAAGAGAAGCCCTTTTAAGTATCACAAGAATCACATTCTTTCATGCAACAAAAGGGAAACGCAACATAAAAACTTCCAGTTAAGAAGGATACATAACAGTTCCGGGGAAACCGGGCTATGCATTTTACAGACACTGAACTAACTACTTGCATACTAGGATCGCTTGTGCAGGTTAACACTTGTGAGCTGGAGATTCTGTGAGACTGGAAATACATTGCATTGCTTGGGGCTGGGAAGTGCAGGCGTGTTCTACCTAACTGTCTTGCTTGCTGCCAACCCTCCAAACCGGGATCTAGCCTACCAGCGGCTGTTTCTAAACCTGAAATGTTAGCACAGCAAAACCTGCCAGGCCACACACGGTAAGTGCTCATCTGGATTCAGGGCTACTGATAAGTTTGTGCACCCAATCCACTCTGCTCTAAGGGGCAGAGAGCTAGTGTTTCTAGAATAAAGCTGTTTGTCTGATTTGTCAACGCTCTGTCTGGAAATATAATGCTTTGCTGACCACCCCACCCCCCACCCCAACCTCGCCAAAGAAAATCACTTATACACTTTAATCTGTCAAAATATTAACAAAATCACGTTAACATTGAGCATAGTGGTTTGGGAAATTAATCCTAAAAAAAGAGAGAGAGAGAGATAGACTGCAACTTATACAAGCCAGGAAACAGACCCCAGGAACTCTGATGTTAAAAATTAAACGGAGGCAAATGGAATCATTCTTGGGTCAGACAGGTTTACAAAGTAAATTAGGGACAGAACAGACAGCGGGCATCACAAAGTGTCGGTTTATAATCACTACCTCAACTGAACGCTTTAAACAAAAAACTAATTTTTTTAAAAAAATTGCTAATATATGACATGATTTAAAAAAATTTAAAGAAAAAAAAGTAAACCAACAAACCCTTAGTCTCTAGGGGAAAAAAACATTATCTGGAAGTGTACCTTTTCCTTACTTTCACTGCGGTGACTTTACGTTGGTGCTGGCACCTGGGACTCCAGGGTCCCCTCCCTTGCTCCTACAGCCACAGTTCTTTAGAAGGCGCCGATCTCCGTCCCCCAAGGTCTATAGGGCTTGCCGAGGCTTGCTGCCTGCGTGGGTGTGGACGGGCTCAGCAGGTGGAAGGAGCTGAAGGACAATGGGAAGGCGGAGAGCGAGGCCACCGAGGACAGCAGCGGCGGCGACAGTTTGGAGGCCGAGGTCGCCACGGGGAGCACCGGTCCCAGGCTGCCACTAGGGGGCGCCCGCAAGGCCGGCGCCTCCGGGTGCGCCGAGGCCAGCCTGGCCTGGTGATGCTGCTCGGCGGCTGACGCCGTGCTGCCGGCGTTCCCGTGGCCATTCTGGGGCAGCAGCAGCGGGTGTGCGACGTGTGGGTGGTGTCCGAAGGCGCTGCCCCAGGGGATGTGTCCGAGGCCCGCGTGAGCGCCGCTCGCGGCTTCCCGCTGCGAGGCGTAGTTGTTGAGGTGTGACACCAGGCGTACCCGAAGCGGGTCGGAGGCATCGAGTCCTTCAATGATGCTCAGGTAACGGGCAACCTCGGCCAGGCATTCCCGAAACCCCAAACTCCGATAGTCCATAGCTAGGGCGTGCGCGTCAAAATAACCTGAACATTAAAAAAAAAAATAGGAAAAAAAAGCATTCAAGGCCCTGCTCATTTCCCGCACTTTTCCACGCCAAGGGCAGCCCTTCCTGGCAAATGCACACGCGTACGGGGTTACAGCACGGATCACGGGTCCTTGGAAGAGCAAATATTTTGGAGCTGACCAAAATCTTTGCATTAATCAACATTACATGTCTGCTAATGCGAGTTCAAAGCCCAATTAGGAGCTGCTGAGCAGAAATTGGAATTATACCCTGCCAGCAGATGAAACTGTTCTTCCCTTTAATGTTTCCCCTCAACAACAACAAAAAATACATCAAGGACAGAGAAACCACAGAGTAGTGAAATTCATTAGACACACAGATGTAAGTTATCATCGCGAAGCTTTTAGGCACTTGGACCTTGGTGACGGATTTTGGGGGCTGGAGACAGACATGGGCTCCAATGTCGCACCTTCGCTTAGAATTTTCCTCTACTTTAAGCCACGGCGGGTCCCTTTCCTCCACATTTTTTCAGCAAAATTCATTTTTTTTTTTTTTGGAACCTGTATGTGAAATTCAGACTACATAGCTGCTGTTTCCCAAGCTTTTCGTAAATAGCAAGAGACATATGTGAGCGTCTTGACCTAAATCGTGGCTAATCACAACAACTACAGCAGGTCGGGGACGCTGGACGCTTGGAGAAGGTGAGTTGATTCAGCAGGAAGAGGGCTGGGGCGACGGATTCACCGTCCAGAGCCTTGGTGAGCTGTTGAAGGCGCACCGACTGGCAACCACACACTGTCCTCTCCCCACCCCCAAAGCAAAGGCAGACAGGGACTGCACCAATCCCAGACCGCGCTTGCCGCCCCCTCCACGCCGACCACGCAGGGCCCCCGCCAGAACTGGAGAGGCGTACCTTTCCCTCCCGCGGTGTGCAGCATTTTGAGGTGATCCACTGTCATCTGTAAGATCTCTGCCTTTTCTAGCTTAGCAGACCCCTAAAGAGGATGACGAAAGGTTTACTCGGCACAAGCACCTCCGGAGAATTTTACAATGTTCATGCATGCATGCATGCATGCGCACAAATACGCGCGATTCAAACGCAAACGAAAGCAAAATCTGTTGGAACCTTGTGCCTGAGCGACATGGCAAGGCTTTTTTTTTTTTTTTTTTCTTCCAAGACACATAGGGTTCAAAGCACGGAGGGGAGCGAATGAGAAGGTGCGGATGGCCACAACAGGCGCTCTACCTATTACGTCCATTACCTGCTTCTCAAAAGCACTGGGTACCAGCCTCCTTAGCTCAGACAAACTGTTATTGATTCGGTCTCGTCGGCGCTTCTCAATTATCTGTGAGACGCAGACAAAAACAAAGGAGACAAAGTGAACATCCCACTACAGGGCGCATTTACCACTGTGACTGTAAATTGCACAGAGAAGAAACTACTTGGTTCTTCCCGTTAGGTGACACAGCAGTACGCAGACATCTATTTAAAGTATTGGGGGTGGGGAGGGCAGATACTCACGCCTCTCCGTCTTTTCCTGGCCAAAACCTGTGACGACGTCGTTGGGGACATGGAACCCAGCGCGGAACTCAAGTTTCTGTAAGATGGGAAGCAATTGCCTTGAGGAAGGATAGGGACGCGAGAGCCCCCACCCCCACCCCCACCCCCTGCAGTCATTTCTTTGGCAACTTGTGCAGGAGAGCGCCGGGGAGGGTCGCTCTCTGCCAGCAGCAGCCGGCCCTCGACTCCCGGCGCCGGGAACGGAGAACCCGCGCGCCCCAGCCTCTCCGCCCACTCTGGCCGGGCGCCGCCGACTGACCCATTCTCGTCGGCACTCTCCTTCTCCACCTCGATGGTCTCGTCCAGCTCGCTGTCGGAGGAGCTGTAGTCGGGGTGGGCTCTCTTCATGCTGGCGGAGCGCGGGCTCCGGGCGGAGGGGGTCGGCCGCGCGGCGGGCAGGGAGGAGTTAACTGCAGCGGCCGCTCGGCGCTCGGCGCTCGGCTGCGGGCGGTGCGCGCACACTGACCCCACTCGCGCTCAGCCTCCGGTTAAAACTCAACCATCCCTTTCCCACGCTGCGCCCCTTCCCAGGGCCCGGGGGAGGCGCGGGAGGCGGGGGAGGCGCCAGGGCGGAGGCGGGGCCGCGGCTCCAGGGGCAACAGCCGGCTCTGGCCAATGGGCGCCTCGCCGCGCGGATTGGCAGCCGCCTGGGGGCGTGGCGAGCGGCGGCCCGGGCGGACGGGGCACCGCCCCGGAGCCCGCCCCTGGCCCGGCGGCAGCGCGTCGGCTCCGCGGGAGCTCGGCTGGGGGCCGCGGGCGGCGGTGGGCCGGCGGCGGGCAGGAGGTGGGGGCCGGCCGGGGACACCAGCCGGGCGCTGGCCACCGCCCCGCCCCACCCCGCGCGCCCCGATTGGCCTGGCCGTGCGCCAGGGCCGCGCCTGCAGCGCCGCCGGTGAGCCGCACGCGCCGCGGGCCGTGGGAAAGTGCCGGCGCCCCGGCCGCCAGCCAATCCGGACGGACGGACGGACGGCGGCGGCGGCCGCGCTGGCGGCGGCGGCGGCCCCTGGGCGTCCGCATGAATGGAGAAGAATGGCCGGGCGGGCGGGGAGCGGGGCCGCGGGGCTGCGCGAGGGCGCGCCTGCAGGGCTCCTCGTGTGAACCTGTAATCCGAGTCCGGGCGCCGGCGAGCCCCGGAAGCCACCGCCCGCGGCCCGCTCTCCGCCCGGGCTGCCGATGCTCCTCGGCGGGGGGCGCTCTCGGTTGGCCCGGCTTGGGCGGGTCCTGCAGGGAAAGTTGCTTGGGGCGCAGCGCCAGGAGGTGGTGGCCAGCAGCTCTGTGGGCAGGCACAGCGACGGGTGGCTCCAAGTGTCTTGTCTGTGATGTGCTTTGGGTTCTGGGAGCCTGTGAAGCTACACAACCCTGCGGGGCTTCTCCAAGATGGAATGAATTCCCCTGTGCATCTCATTTCCGGGAAAGTGGACCGCTTGCTTTCTCTGTTAACTTGAGGGAGGGCTAGCTGTCCCCGGAGACATTCGTTATGTTGAGATTTTTGTTGTTGTTTTGATTTGGTTTTGTCCTCACCCCCACCCCCACCCAAGAGTTGGCGGCCAGATCCTCACAGCAGGCGACAGGGTGGCGGCCCGGGTGTTTGCTTCCGAGGCTGACCTCACTGCGGGAATGCACGTTTCTTACCAGCACCACACACGCCATTCCCTTTGGTCTCAGTCGGGGCGGGTGTTTTGGGTACTGCTATATGAAGTTCTGCGCACGCCTCTCCCCTCCTCACCACCAAGAAAGCCGACTTATAAAAATATGCCTGAGCCCAGCGTTCATAGAAGTAGATGGCCAGGAGAAAAATCCCATCTATCCCATTCGAAGGTAGAACATTATGGGTTCCACGCTTGGAGCTTGCCATCCTGTCTGAGAAGCAAGGCTTCATAAATGTCGAGAATGAAAAAAAAAAAAAAATTCATCACTTCTGCAAGCAGTTTGGTTGCTGGACTCGTTGAGTTCCAAGCTCAGACTGAAGGCCTAAACCCAGTTCCCAGGTCCTCTCCATCTTCTCACGCTTTGGGCCACCGCCTGGCTCCTAGTAGAGATCTTACTGCAGTCACCCTAGTCACCCCCAGTTGTGGTGATGGCCCCTCCCCCCCAATAGATGAGGTCCCTCCATCGTGGCTTTGTTCTTGGCGGTGCCCATGCCCCTGTAGGACTGATAACCCAGAAGATGCTGCTTTGTGAGTGGTGAATCCAAGGTCAGCTTCACAGCCTGCTCCTGCTGTGTTCCCAGCTGGGCTTCTAAAGGTGAGCCTAGAGGCTCACCTCCCGCCTCTGAACACCCTTTGCTGCCTCCGTCTTCACACACACACACACACACACACACACACACACACACACACACACACACCACACCACCTGCCTCCTCTCCTACTGCCTGGTAAACCAGACAGAAGACATGGCAAGCCATTCCTGTAATTTCCATAGTCCGTCTCCCATCCTGTTTCTTCCCCTAAAGCGATAGGTCATCCTGCCCCAGAATCAGTGTGACCTCTACTCCGTGGCTCTAAAGTTTTCCAGGTCACTGAAACCTACAGGGAGGCCCAATTCTGGCTGCAGTGCAGGGGTAGAAACAGCCAGCAGCATGTTGACTGGTGGAAAGAAACAGTCAACAGTGAGGGTGTTTGATTACACAGCATTTTAGGTTCCAATATTTCTCACACACGTTTACTTCAGAAAAGGAAGCTATCCTGTCGGGCATATGGTGTTGCACACCTGTAATCATAGAACTTCCCAATTGGGAAGTAGAAGCAGAAATGTCATAAGGTTCAGCCCAGAGTATGTGACACGGGTCAAGACTCTTCTGGTTTTATCTATAACAATACCTTGTACCAAAAAAAAAAAAAAAAAAAACCAAAGGCTGTGGCCCAGCACCCACAAAATGACACTGGTGCTTAGTCTCCTGTCAATCCACCCTGGATCTGACATCCCAGGGAGACAGTGCACAAAGGTCTAATGGTGAGGTCGCCCCAAAGCCTAGTGGCACCCTCTGATAAGGAGACAGGAGGCAATGGGGACACTTTTATTAGGTCTGGGAGAGCTTTTCAGAGTTGACCAGGAATGTAAGATCATGGAGACATCACCAAGTAATCACTGGGAAGGATGGGGTGGCAGCTGTTCCCTTGGGTGGTGGGGTCGGGGACAGACTGGGAGCACCAGACTCTTGCCCACCATCGGCGCTTTGTTTCCCCTGGGAGATTTGGGGCTTCTTGCAAAGTGGTTGGGGGTGCTCAGACCTGACCTGTAAAGAAAGGGGCATTTCTAGGACTGGAGATGTCCCTGCAGGGAACTTCTTGGACCCTGGGAGACCTGGAACTCTGTGGGAGACCCATGTTTGTATGGTCACTCCGCTATGGGGCCAGGTGATCTCAGAGCTGCAGCTCAGAGGTGGAGCCTCCATCCACCTCTCAGAAGAAGGAAGGAGGGGAGGGAGGAGGAGAGAGGGAAGGAGGGAAAGGGGGAGGGAGGAGGAAGGAAGGAAGGAAGGAAGGAAGGAAGGAAGGAAGGACAGCTTCATAGTCCCAGGAGCTTTCCGTCAAATTGCTGTATCCACTCAGAGGCGAACCGTCTTCATGGACATGCCTCTCATGAGGCAGAGGCAGTCAGATCTCTAACTTGAGGCCAGCCTGATCTACAGTTACAGGCCAGTGCTATGTAGTAAGACCCAGCCTCCCTTTGTTTTGTGTCAAAACAACTCTTAGAGTTATTCATGGTAGAACATTCCTGTAATCCTACCCCTGGGGGAGGCTGAGACAGGAGGATTGAAAGTTTCAGGGCAAGTTGGGCTTCATAAATCCTGTCTTGAAAAAACAAAGACCAACAAAAGAAACTGAGGTGAAGGCAGCAGGTGAAGAATTTGAAAACTTTAGTGTCTGCCTGATTAAAACTTTGGAGAAAAGCCCTACTAAGTGCTAAGCACCAAGTCAGGCCCAGGACAAAGATGGGGGAAGGCCACACTCTCCATCAACCCCCTCAGTACTTCCTGACATTGGGCTAAAGTTATTTAACCTCCTCAGTCATCATGCCTCTGTCTCCTGTGATATGAGGATGTCGATAATAGTGATCACCCAAGACCAGTTAAGGAAAGCACATCGGTTACATCTTGTGTGCCCACTGGTAATCAGTAATTAAACAACAGCGGTTAGTTAGTACCCAGTGCTGATGTGTCTGGTCTGCCGGGGAAGGCAGCAGTTGGTGACCACAGCATTTTGTTCTGATGACGTCTCACAGCTGCTGGGATTGGAATGTAGCATGATGATCTAGTAATCGGATACATTAACCAAGCATCTCTAGAAGGTAGAAGCTTTTTAGTATTGCGGGAGGGGGCCGGGGCTACTTACTAAAAGCACCAGTCTACTGGTGCTGAGCAAGATAGTCCTCTGCTGTTTGTGTTTAGTGAAAGTGCTGTTTCTGAGTCTCTTACTAAGAAACACCGCTATAAATAGAGTTATAAGTAAGCTGCACACTCGCAGAGCTCAGCTTCTGCGCCCTTTGGAGCATGCATCAAGTCAGAACCAAGGCAGAATAGCCCCAAACTGTCACAAAGGAATCTGGACCCAGCAACCGTTCCCCTCTGTCCTCCTGTATGTGGTGCTCCCCAGAAGTCCCACTTAGAACATCACGGAGACTCGTGTCGTATCACAGCACAGACAAGTGTGTTTCCGCTCTCAGGTCTCCTAATTGAGAGGCACTGTGAGGTCACTGCTGTTTGCTGGCAAGACATGTTTAGTTGGAAACCCAACAGCCACGGCGGCACATAGGGGAAAGAGAGGCGGTCAAGTGCCCTGCCTAGGTTTGAGACAGCAAGAGCTGGACCTCACTCCTATGAGCGATACTTTCTTTCCTCATCAGTAAAAGAACGATGCTCCACAGCGTGCTGTTGGTTTTTGAAAGTTAAAATGAAATAGAGCAAACGATGGTGTGGGTGATATGGCCTGGAATCCCGCCCCTTTGGAGACCATGACAGGAAGATGGGTGTAAGGCCATGCTGAGAGCTACATAATAGTTGAAAGCTGACCTGGGATACATTGGACACTGTTTCAAATAAGAGAGGAAGGGCAGGGGGAGAGAATTTTGTACAGTAGGACACGGATATGTACTCTATGCTTACAACTGATGATGAAGATGGATACAATGATAGTGATGGCGTTAAGAACATCCCGAGCTTTGCTGGGGCCCCAGGAGGAAGCTACAGGGGGCTTCCTTGTGAATTCCTTAAGGATAAGCCAAGGAAAAGGGGGTAGGGAAAGGCATTTTTATCCTAGCATGAGGTGGTAAATTACCGGAGCCTGCATACTGCTGCTGCTGCTGCCTCCCCGCACGCACAACCCCACTTTACATCAAGGTCTCATGCATCCCTGGTGTTCACACTGGAGGTTTTGGCACCAGATGTTTAACGTGAGGACACAGCCACTGGCTCCAAGTTATGGTTGAGGGGAAGGTTTTTATTGTAGATATGAGTGACCGGAGCATAGGCAGAGCACCTAGAAGAGCCCAGAGCAGGGAGAGAAAGCCGTGCATTGGACATG